GCGTACCTTTCAGTTCGATTGAGAAGGCGGGTCGAAGGTATTCGTAGATTGGCCTCATCGGATTACGCAAGAGGGTTGCCTTGGACTTTTGTCTGCTAAATTGTGCGAAGACCTCGGATCAACGTCTTACACCCCCGATGACTCCATGCTGAGCTTTCGTCCGTACTGTGACGGACATCGTCAGAGCCAGAATCCATTATTCACGAAAAACACTAAACCGAGAAAGAGTGGGCAGCCGAGGTCCTACTTACTTCTTATACCTCACTTTACGATCTTAATGGGCCATTGCATGATTTGGCTGGCTGATGTATGCTTGTCCTACATGCACGTAAGTGGGTCAAAGTGATGTTGGCAGGGGAGCAGAGCTGGTGACAAATTTTGTCAATTTAATTAAACTAGAGAATAATCTAGTTGTCCTGGGTCTTGCTACAGCTTCGTTGATGCGTGTTTACGTGGGTATGAAACAATCCCGAGTTGGTTGACAATTTTAGGTTTAAAAGCAAGTTCCAGCTTAATCTAGTCTTCTGTTACTAAGTGGCTCTTGTTCTTTTTCATCCTCTTTCTCTCTTTCTTTCTATCATTCTATTTAAAAGCTAGAGATAGTTCTTACTTAGTTTTCTACATTCATTCTTCTTATTGAGGATGTTGTTTGTTTTGTTAATTACAATCGACTCCCTGATCTTCCGCTTAGCTGTGAAATACCCATATCCAAATGGATTTTCTGGATGACTCGTTAAGATGGCTCGTCTAGATGCAATATCTTCTGGCTTACAAAGATACATTGAATCAATTCGGAGCACTCTTTCATCGTTTTAACATATCCCTCTTAAAAACTCCTAAAGTGAAAAATGCATTCATGTGCGTGACTGCTCTGGGCTAAAATTAGTGGCCCCAGGTAATAAGAAGAACATTTTCTTTGGACTGAGACCATTTATCATTCCCTAACTTTTCCAGCATGCCTCAATTCTCATAAGATAAGGAACTGGACGCCATATGGAATGGTATTAAACGCATCGGTATGCGGAATATGCTACGTCTGCTGTTAAACGCCAGATGTCGAACCTTGCAGACTGGAGAATACACTTAATATGAGACATGGGAATAATAAATGGGGTAACAAACGCATATGCTTAATTAATAGACTTAGGTGAAGTGAGATTATTGAGCCACTTACGAAAATAATGCGACTTAATTAATCGGCTCGATCATGTTTCTTATTACATTCACATTCATTGTATACATCTGGTAGGTTCACTAAAATAGCCAAATATAAGTTCTTGCTTACTGAATCGCAAAAAGGCCTCTCCTTGAGTCATTAAACTTTGAGGATTCCCTGTTGTGACTGTGACTGCTGGTCTGGTACTTTGATTACACATGTCCTCACGAACATGACTTGAAAATGAAATGACTCTATCAATCCATCTCGAATTATTTTTTATTTGTGTTTCTGAGTATCCATATCACGTAAGGAAGAGTCAATGGATCGTCATGAGTTAATATAAGTCTTAAGTTTTTATAATAATAGGATTCAGATTTGCCGGTGCCTACTAGTTGGCATAAAAGACGACATTTGAGCACATTTATATCGGAATTAATTAGTGTCTCGTGAACTCTCTCAACCTGAACGTCATAGTAATATCATAGGATTGCAGAGCGACGAGACTCTGCCGTTGTCCTCTGGTAAGATCGACTGATGAATCCCTTCATCAGGTACTTTTACACGAAATGAAAGCCACTCTTGCAGACTTAGCTAAATATGTGGAAGCTTAGAGCTTGTCTATTTGTTATCCGGTAATACTCTAATCGAACTTACAGCGTTGTGACAATCACTTTTAACTGGGCTATCGAGAAATTCTGCTTTACTTTTGGGTACATTCTTCTCTGCGTCGTAGCTGTCTATTGTCCTATACATACCGACAGCGATATTGAAGAGTACTTTTTATTTTTTCCTCTTTCACTCTCACAGATTTATTCTTCTTCGATTTTTCTACCTTATCCACTCTCTATATTATCTTCTTTTCCTCGTTCATCTTTGTAGGGGCGCAGTTCCATTCCCATCACGTATTATGCTACGTCCTCTCCTCAGCCTGCAGCCTCATCAAATCTTCCTTCCACTAAACAGGATTTAACTCAGCCAACAGGTAAGAACATTCTGGCACAGATCTCTCAGAATGACTCTTCTTCGTCCCCGACCCTCTGTTTACTCATCGTTTTTACTTTATATAATCAAATACAGATTTGATGCATTTCTAATTTTCAAGCATTATTGCTTGAACCGCTTGCATTAGCTGTTCTGAGTACCAGCCTGGCAGCAATGCTGTATCCTCTAAAGTCACTCGTTCCGTATTTAAATATGTTCTGCAGCGAGTCAACATTTTGCAAAGTTGGGCATTCAGAAGTTCTTAAGGAAAATGAGTTAATCTTCATATTTTATCGAGGATGGGAAAATTAATAAGCATCTTATCAATACGACTTTAATTATATTTGTAAGCATTACTGAACAAGACTATTGCATTACGCAAATCTTTTACACTCTAACGAACTTGTATCTGAAGACTCCGGCTTGTTTTGCTGTCTATCCTGTGTATTTTTCTGCGTATCTATTTCGCTTTGCTTGCCTTTGGATCCATCAAGTGTTTTGCTGTTACCTCTTTTCTGCTCTTTCTAGCTTATTTTTTGCTTTAATCCTTATTTATCCTAACCTAAAGTGTTTGTTTGTTAGTTGTCGGTTCTAATGGAAAGCACGTTTGCCTTATCGGCAATAGACTCACCATAAAAATTTCATTTGGATGGGCTATGGCTTGCCTTGAAAACCATATATGCACTGTAACTCATTAGCAATCTTTGTTATACAACGGATTGATGACAAGGTTGCTTTAACCTGAAGACCCGATAATTAATTCCTTTCCAGATGCTCATAAGATCAAGACAAACTCATAATGAATATGCAAAAACCTTTCGTTACACAAGATCAAAGCAATTTCACTGACATAGAGAAACCATCCATCCAGTTCATTGTAGGAAATCTAGCCTTTGATGACTCGAATTCTTATTATATACTGATCGCTTCTAAATACATTCACTATGTTTGGAATAGCTGTTTCTCGGAACAGCTCTTATCTTTCATATAGCGGCCATACAGGCTTTTATTCTCATGCTCTTTACAACCTGTTAAGCACTCTTATCTTAATTGGAATATTTTAATATATAAGGCAACTACTCACTTCGTAATTCTCGTCCTGTCCAGTTTTACCCAGCTACTTCGATTAATAGTGGTTTATTTTAGCTCTCTGTTACCTTTTTCTTACCCTTCTTCCATCCTCTGCTCTGCTCTGCTCTTCCCTTCTCTTTTCTCCACTGCAATTCTTTTATCTTTTGTATCCTTTTGTTCTTTTCTCTTATTTTATCTTCCACCCTCTTAATTCCTCTTTCCCTTTTTATCTTTTTTTCTGTATTCTATTCCCCTCATTTCTCTTCTCTTGTCATCTCATTATCTTCTATTCCCTTTTTTGTCTTTTCTTTTCTTATCCTGCCATCCTCCTTTCTGTTTTTTTGCCTTCTACTTCCTCTCTTCTTTCCTTTCCCCTCCTTGCATTTTCTATTTTTTCTTTACTTTTTTGAACTCTCCCAGTCTCTTCTCTTTTCTTTTCTCACTATTATTCTCCTCTGCTCTTCTCTTTTTTTCATGAACTACCCTTTCTCTCATCACCTTTTGCTTCTTCTGACCTTATCTTTTTTCTCTTTACTTTTCTATTCTATTCCCATTATTTTCTTTACTTCTCCGATTTTCTCTTTTTTATTCTCCT